GCATTTTAGTTTTATATCCAGAAATGTCCCTGAACTCTTTTATTGGTTCAAAAATTTGTCTGTCAGTTTGCTTAGATTTTTCTATGTAAATAGTCATAGAGTATATAATAACAATTTTTTTCTTCTTTAAAAATTTTTAATATATTCTTTCTTGTCTTACTGCTAAGGCTAGGACTTCTAGTATATCACTAAATAGAAATAGTGATAGAGTGCATACTTATCTTGTTTTTTTTTTTCTTTTTGTGGTACGCGGGCCTCTCACTGTTGTGGCCTCTCCCGTTGTGGAGCACAGGCTCCGGACGTGCAGGCTCAGCGGCCATGGCTCACAGGCCCAGCCGCTCCGCGGCATGTGGGATCTTCCCGGAACGGGGCACGAACCCGTGTCCCCTGCATCGGCAGGTGGACTCTCAACCACTGCGACACCAGGGAAGCCCACTTATCTTGTTTTTGACTTTAAATGTTTTATTATTAACTATAAAGCTGTTTACTCTGTGTTTTTAGTAAATATACTTTATTAGGTTAAGCAAGTTTTTTTCTCTACCTAGAGCATTAAGGATTTTTTTTTTAGTTTTGTTTTGTGAAAGGATATTGATTTATACCAATGTTTTTCTGTATCTGATCACATGGATCAAATGGTTTCTCATATTTAATTTATTCTACTATCGTGATTGCATTGAAAGATCTTTTTACTGTAAAATTATACCTTCGTTCCTGAATAAATCTGATTAAAAAATAAATGTGTACATGTATGTACACATGTGTCTGTGTTATTGGATTTCTAAATTTTCGTTCAGTATAACATTTTTATCTCAGTTAACCATAAGTGAGGCTGAGCTTTCATTTACTGCTTTGTTTTCAGAAAGAGCTATTTGTCCCTTTTGTTTCTTTTTCTGGGATAATTTGCATAAGTTTGGGATCATCTGTTTCTTTTCTTCTTCTTCTTTTTTCTTGGTAGAAGTCACCTGTAAAGTCATCTGGGCCTCGTTGTTTATTTGCGTGGTGAAGTCAATTTTGTTAATTGTCGTAAGTCTACTCATAGTTGAGTCAATTTTGGTAAATTTTATTTTTCCAGGAAACTGCCATTTATCTGTTTCCTAATTTATTGGCATAATGTTCATAATATTCTCTTAGTTTAAAAACCACTGCTGTATCTGCTATTTTCCTTTTTTTCTTAATCTAATTTGTAAAAGGATTTAAATTTTACTTGTTATTTCAGAGAACCAGCTTTTGTATTTTGTTTTCTATTTCATTTATTTCTGCATTTTCCCCTTCAAATTTCCCTAGGTTAACTCTGCTGTTTCTTTATTAACTTCTTGATTAGTTATTGAGCTGTTCATTTTCTAGCCTTCTCTAATATAACCAGTTAAGGTTATAAACTTTTACTTTAGGCACTGTTAAAACTGCATTCCACAAATTCTGATATGTATTTCCATGACAATTCAGTTTTAAATATTTCTCACTTTCCATTTGTTTCTATCAACTTCCCTTTGCCCCTCCAGACCCACTCACTTCCTTCCCTCTCCACCCTGCTCTCTGCCCCACAGGCTGTTGTGTCCTCTGTCTTCCAGCTGGGTTCTGCTAGTGGGAATTCCTGGCAAGAGATGGTAGAGGAGAAGGAAAACGAGGTCAGGGTATTTATTTTCCTGGTCTCTTCTCTGTGAGATTGCTGGTTACATCCCTTGACAGAAGGTCACTGCTTCTTAAAAGATGGCCTGTTCTGCAAATAAGATTCTCTTTTGGTATTCCAGTAACTCCTCTATCTCCTGTCCCTTTGGACCTAGAGGTTGTGACTGTTCCACTGTTTCTAGTCCCAGATCCTCCATTGTCCCTTGATTCCCATATATCCTGCCCACATCTTTAAAATTTGTTTTTTAAAAATTGAGTGACCATCTGTTATCTGTTGGAACCCTGAATGATATACCACTTTTATTTTGTCTTTGGTCCATGACTTATTTAGAAGTTTGTTTTTAATTTCCAAGTATGTGAGTTTTTTAAAAGTTATTCTTTTAAAACTAACTTCTAATTTTTAACTGATCAATATTTAGAGAACATGTTCTATATCATCATGATTCTTTGGCATTTGTTGAGAATTGCTTTGTGGTCAATTTTTATTTTGTTCCACAGGTGCTTGAATAGAATAAGTATTTTCTGTACCTTTACTACTTTTGCCTGACAGATGGGGGTTGTATAATTGTATGTTTGTCATTTCTTCTTTAAAAATTAATTTTTCTTTATACACACTTGAGATCATGTTACTAGATGCATACAGATTTAGAATTATTTTATTTTCCTGGTGATTTGTTCTTTTTGTCATTGACCGCCCCCCCCTTATCTCTAATGATACATTTTGCTTTAAAGCCTATTTTGTCTGAAATGAATATAGTTACTCCACCTTTCATTTCCTTAATAGTACTTCTGCATGTCTTTTTTACTTTTCCCTTAATTTTTCTTTATCCTTATGTTTTAGGTATATCTTGTATCAACAGCATATAGTTGGATTTTTTTAAGCTACATAATCTAATTATCTGGTTTTTAAATAAAAGAAATATTGTCATTTTAGCTTACAATCAAAGTATAGTACATTTAGGATTCAAGGGATTTGGATTCCAGTCTCTACCCCACCGTTGTGTGACCTTGAGCAACTCTTTCAAACTCTCTCTCAGGAGAGTAGTGATAAAATAGAAGTGTTGAATCAGATTATCTTGAATATCCCCTCTAGCTCATTTACTGTCATTCCCTTCAATTACAGTAACATGTTACAAATAGATTTGCGACAGGGACTCTTAAAACCAGACCTAAAAATAAAAACAAAATCCTAGTGTAATTTGGTGAAAGAATTCAAATAGTAACTGATGTTTAGCTTTGGGTATTTGCTCTTTGTCATCTAAAACTTTAATTTTCCGTCATTCAATGTATAATACTTTTGCAGTTCAATTTTCTGAGGATAATCCATGTTTTTTAAAGAACATATTTTCCATGATTTGGGGGATATATATAAATATATTTTCTTGTGATTCTAAAGGTCTTTCATATTCTTTTCTTTTTTTATAAATTTATTTATTTTTGGCTGTGTTGGGTCTTCGTTGCTGCCCACGGGCTTTCTCTAGTTGTGGAGAGCAGGGGCTACTCTTCGTTGCGGTGCACGGGCTTCTCATTGCGGTGGCTTCTTTTGTTGCGGAGCACAGGCTCTAGGTGCACAGGCTTCAGTAGCTGTGGCATGCAGGCTCAATAGTTGTGGCTCGGGGGCTCTAGAGCACAGGCTCAGTACTTGTGGCTCATGGGCCCAGTTGCTCTGCAGCACGTGGGATCCTCCTGGACTGGGGCTGGAACCCATGTTCCCTGCACCGGCAGGTGTATTCTTAACCACTGTACCACCAGGGAAGTCCCTCTTTCATATTCTTTAACAATCCAAACTGATTTTCAAGGTTTTGTTATTAGTTTCCTGCCTCCTTTTCTTTTAGCCTACATTTTAATTTCTACAAAATCTTTTCTAGAGTTGTGGATACCACGATCTTTACCAGTTTTTCAAAAGATTAATCTAAAAATGACATCACTATATCTGAACCCTAAGACCTTGGAAATAAACCTACAGATCTCATTGTTAGTCTCTCCATTTAATGGAGGTACAGAAATAACTGCATCTAGTTTTTGTAGAGAGACTATTTTATTTGGAACCCCATTTTGCATGGTTGGCTATAGTGACACAGACTTTAGGATTAAGGCCTTTAGGAAGGAAGAGGTCACACTGTTTCTTGCTTTGGTTTTCACCTCCATTTTTGCACCTTTGTGTTAATGTGAACCAAACAGCTTCCCAAATCTACAACTGGTTCCTGGGCTTCCTCAACCCACCTAGAAAACTGCAGCAACCTAGGAGGTTGTCATTTAACTGACAATACTCTTGGTTAGGAGTCTGCTTTCTTATACACCAATCATATAACCCTATGGTTACTTTGATTTAACTTGGTTATTTTTTAATTCATCCCAATAGCGCATTTACAGACTCTTAGGATGGGTCAATTCTCCAGATGACTCATCTCATCTTTTATTGGGCCATTTTTCTGTGTAGATGCAAAATATGTGGGTGGGAGGTGGGAGGCTAGAACCTAAACTGAGTCTGTTTATGTTCAAGGTGGGTGGATCACCAGATTTGAGTGTACTCCTGTAATTGTTTTTTAAAGTACTTTAAATCATATAGTTAGCATACTAATATTACCTCTGTTTAAAAATAAAGGATAAAAAACCCCTCAAGGTCCGCTTTCACCATGCCCTCCATTGCTTCCCTCTCTTAGAGGTAACCATTATTGTTTTGAGGACACCTTTCCAGTGACCTTTCTATACATTTCTTTCCTATACTGTATATACATATACACATTTTTTTCCTTACATAAATGACACCTTCTCATTTTATAGGTGAGGAAACTGAGACCTTGAGGGAAGATGTGTTGCAAATTTATTGAAGGAAAGTGGACTGGACCACGGGTTCTGGTATTTTACTTCTGATGCATGGGCTGCCGCACTAATCAATTAGCTTAGAGGCTGGGGAGCAGGTGCGAAAGTCGCTTTAGTGCAACGATGTAAGATTTGTATTTTGATAGGAGTTGCAGGAAACCTAGCAGAGGGCTCTGGAGTTGCAAAAACAAAAAATATACTGTCATCGGCAGTTGGGTCTGTTAATAAAGCTTGTGAAGCTGAAACGCAAATAGCCTACTACCTACCAATCCCTTCGGAAACTTAGGAAGCAATTTCGCGTCTCTGAGACTGGCATTAGAGCTTGGAGAGGAAGGCACCAGAGGTTGCAATGAAGGATGCGCTGGCGGACAGCAACCGAGCAGCCAACCCAGAGAGCAGAAAGCTCTCCCTGACCGATCTGGAAGTGCGCCTGCGCAGGCCGCCACGGGGGGCCGGGGTGGGCGGGGCGGAGCTTGGGGGCGGTCAATGAGCCTGCGCAAACCGTGCGGCGAGGTGGGGGAGGGCGTTCCGTGTGTGTCTGTGTTGTTGTTCGGCGGCAGCGGCGGCGGCGGTAAGATGGCTGCCCACGGGGGCTCCGCGGCGTCCTCGGCGCTGAAGGGGTTAATTCAGCAGTTCACCGCCATCACCGGTAAGAGACGCGGTTACCGGAAGGTGGAGAGTGGGGTCTGGAGCGGGCGGCCGGTCTGCCCTGGGCTTCCCTTTACCTTCATGCATTCCTCCCTCGGGCTTTACCCACAGCTCTCGTCCTCCCTCCTGAGGAAGAGGCGACGACGGCGTCGGGTCTCCGGGTTCAGGCGGGAGACACCCCCTTACCCCCGCGCACCCCATACCCTCGTTCTTGGTCTTCTTGCAGTGTGGAGGGAAACCTCCCCACCTCCTTTCAGCCCAGACCCGGGGAATGGGCCGAGCTCATCCTCCCCCGCCGGCCCGGGAACCTGGGGGCGGGAGAGGTGGGGGGCCGCACCCGGGCCACCGCCCTCCTCCTTCATCATCATCGCCTCTTCTCTGTGCAGCCTTGGGGTGCAGCGCATCCCCTCACCTCCTTATTCCGTTTTTCCTTGGCCAGGTCATTCTCCCCCCCGTCCCTGGCCTGCCCTTCCCCTTTCTGGGCCCCTCGGAGCCATCGCTGTGGCCCTGGCGTGTTCGGGCCCTCCCGCCTTAACGGCGAGGCTGGGGGGTTCGGCAGCGCCTTTACCGATCTCGGGGGATAGGCCGCCAGAAAGGGGGGGGTGCTGAGGAGTACCCTCCAGACTGAGGTTTTAAGAGAAGAATGAGGGGGAACCCCCCCAGACCTTAATAGGAAAGGCCTGGAGGAATCTTCGGTGGCGTTTCCCACCTCCCCATTAAAAAATAATAAAGACCGAGACGATGGCGCCAGGGCCTCCTGCTGATAAAATAGGAATGACGGCAGAAACTTCTTTGAGACAAAATCAGTTTCTGGATGTCAGTATACCCCAAACCCACGGTTTTTCTTTTCCTTTGGACCCCTGCGAAGGGCACACGCAGATCCTCTTACTGCCTGGAGGAAAGGCCCTAAGCCGTTCTATGAATTCTCTCTGTCTTGTTCTCTGTGATGGTGCTGAACTTTTTTTGCATGAGTTATTAGAGGGCGGAGCAAATGATGAAGTTCTCTGTGGAGTGATTTGAGAGAAGAGTACTACATGTGCCTGAGTGTAATTTTGCCGTTCTAGTTTGTCATTTTGTAAGGAGGTCAGAATGTTAGCAGATCTATACATTATTTGGTAGTTTGTTAGATGCAGAGAACATTTCCATTTTCAATGTATCCAGAGTTTGACGTGCAAGATCTGGTTAAGTGAAATTTTATATTTTAACCACTGCCGGTTGTTTGCGAGTTGTCGTTTTATAGTTAAAGGTATTTTTATTTTTTACTTTGCAGCGATAACTATATGTTTGATGCATTGTCTAGCTTGTGGGCATGAAACATCGAGTCACAGTTGATAAAGTAAAATTTGTAACAAAATTGGGATGAGAATTGGAATAACTTTTCTTAATATTTAAAAATTGTGATTGGACTATTATATTAGAGATGTAATGCATTTCCCAGTGTCTAAGCAGATCATTATTGGGAAAATCAGAAAATTATTGTGTGTATGTGTATATAAGTTAATACTGCTGTATTATGTTTATATAGAAAAATCTTTGTAGTGAATTACATATAGAAGTGATTATCATTATCTTTTCTTTAGATTTTCTAGAGGTGGTTTAAGGTGCCACCTATTTCATTCCAGTTTTTTATGCTAACTACCATAGGAACTTGGATTGTTTTAGTCTCACATTATTCCTTCTAATGCAACATTTTTGGTAGGTGTAGACAAAACCCAAAATGTGGTGAGATGAAGTGACTCACTTAATTGCTTTAATTCTGTTTCTGTGTGCTAGTCTTCATGGCTTGTTTCCTGGTCACAGGCCCTTCTATTCCTGAATCAAGTTGGAGACCCTCAGTAGACAGTGGTATCTGGAGGTCTGTAAAAGCGAAAATACCATAGATTCTTCTTAATGTATTATGGATTTATAATAATGATTTTTTTACAAGATAGTAATTAAATATTAGAAACACATGATTGACCCCTTTATTCCCTTTCATATATCCTAAAAAAATTCGTGTGTGTGTATATATATATATATACGTATATATATATATACGTATATATATATATATTTTTTTTTTTTTGGCCGTGTGGCATATGGTATCTTAATTCCCCGACCAGGGATGGAACCCGTGCCCCCTGCAGTGGAAGCGCAGAGTCTTAACCACTGGACCACCAGGGAAGTCCCCACTAATATTTTAAATTGTAGTATTTATGACAAAAAGGTATTTGAAATTTATTTATTGCTAGATGAATGAAACTGACCTTAAGAGTTTATGCTCTCATTTCAAAAAGATTTTACTTACTTGGAAGCCCAACATTGTGGTAAAAGCAATGCATTTTCAAAAATGTGAGTCTTACCTTTTCTGTGGCATTTAGAAGTAGAAGAGAAAATTGAAAGAATTTTAACTTTTATTTCTCACTAAATAGAACAGATCTCTCTCACACTCTCTTTCTATGATATGTGAGTATGAAGTGATGACTCTGACTTTAAAAAATATTAAAAAGATATCACATGAAATAATTTTGAAAAAAGAAACACTAATTCATTCTCATAATAGCAATATTATTTATTTCACATATTATCTTCCAGTTCTTGTTTACATACTTATTTTTATTTTTTAAATTACTTTAAAATTATTTTTACATTGTGGATCATAATGTACATAATTTAGAATTCTGAAATTTTCAATTAACGTTACATCGTGAACATTTTTCCTATGATTAAACCCTTTGATAAGCAGATAGCCAAGGGAAGTGATGGTCTTTGAAGTGGTCACACTGAGAAGCTATGTACCTTTACCATTGATGCCATTAGCATTATTTCAAGCTACATAGAAATCCAGTCCTGTTATTTTATAGTCTACCACATTTTACAGTATTACTCAGTTTGATCTCCGTTGATGCTCTCATACATGGCTTAGACTGCTGACTGCTTTCAGAAGTTATATCAGTTCTCAAAACCTGAGGAAAGAATGTGCCACTGGATCTGAAGGTAATTCCAAAAGAGCAGTTTTTTAAAATGTTTTGAACCACGGCAGTATCCCATTAACACCAACTTGGACTGACATCCAGCCACACGTATACAAAATGCATAGATGTAATCAGAATAATTCGTGAGATGAGGGATATATAGATGCTATAGAATAGGTAGAAGTAAATACACAATCAGAAGGTAAGGCCAAAAAGTGAGGGAATAGAAAGTGAGGCTGAGAAGAGTACAAGTGGTTGCTAGTGTAGCATTCCATAAAGCTTTGTGTATAGTAGGCATTCACGGACTTAATGAAATTATAGAACCCCTTTAGTTTAATCTTTTTTAAAATTGTTGAATGAATGCATATTTGTTAAATTAGAAACTCTTGGTGTTTGTAGTATTTGGATTTGTAGTCAACTTCCATTCATATTCTTTCTACAATACATTTTTCTTGGGTTAGTATTAAAGTGTATTTAAGTTCTCTGTGTTGCAAGTAGTTGCAAGAAAGGTAGTTGCAAGTGATCTAGTTATTAAAACTCTTCTGGAATTTTAAGAACTATTTCAAAAGGTGTTAATGAAGTTTGAGCAGAAATTAGGGAGGGAATAAATTTTTTTGAGTTGCGAGTAGACTCTTACTAGTAAACTCAGTATTTGTTAATAGACTACTATGTGCCAGGCATGGTTCAGATCTTGGGGATACTGCCATGAGCAAGACATGGTGTCTGTCCTCAAAAAGCTTAAAGGTTAATGGGAATACAGACACATAAATGGGTATTGTAATACATTGGGATAATGGTAAGGAGCTGTTACGGTAGCACAAATGAGGGAGGTCAAGAAAAGCTTCCCAGAAGAAATAATTTCTTAGCTAAAACCTGGAGGGGAGCTGTTTCTGGCAGGAGAAACATGTGCAGAGACCTGGAGGAAAGAGGGACAGGCATACATATAGAGACAAGAAAGGAGAGACAGTAGGTTGAGGGAATTGATGATAATTCCAAATGAAGAGAGCATAGCTTGTGTGAGATGCAATAAATGGGGCTGAAGAGATAAGAGGGTACCAGATTAGGAAGGGCCTTGTAACTCATGTTAAGAAATCTTGGCTTTATTCTGAATGTAGTGGGGAGTCAGTGAAAAGTTTTAATTAGGGGAGTGACACAATCATATTTGGTTTTTTCAGAAAGAGCTACTTGGCCATAGGTGAGAAGAGGTAGGCATAGACATCAATAGAAGACTGTTGCAATAATTGAAGATGCTGGTGTCCTGAAATAAGTTAGTGGCAGAGAAGTGGACTCTGAAAGGTAAGGGAAGAATTCAGAGGAGTCAGAATGAAGCTTAGGATTCTGTTTTGGATGTCTAAGTGTATAATAATACAATTTGTGAAGGTATGGAATAGTAGCAGAGGTTTGGGGAGATGATTAGTTCAGCTTAGGTAAGTTGCTGCCTGTGGGACTTCCAAATGGAGCTGTTCAGTAGGGAAATGAATATTTGGGTCTAGAAAGAAGAGTGACATCTGATGAGTCATATTGATGGCAGTTGAAGCTATAAAAGTGGATGTGTCCTTTGTTCCAGGACACAAAGCTGAAGGAACACTAACATCTAACAGACGGTAAAGAAGAAAGTACAGAGAAGGATCGGAAGAAACCAAAGATGTAGGAGGAAAACCAGGAGAATGTGATGGTACTTCAAACATTAGGAGTAGGGTAATATGTCAGATATTATGTAGGCACTTTAGGAAACCAGAAATCATTGAATATTCACAGATTTTTCTTGGTTAGGGTTGGAAAACATCTTAGAAACCATATTGACCCATTTCTGAGTTAAAATGAGAAATTGAAGGCCCAGAGAAGTAAAGTGAGTTAGGGTTATATGTATAGGTCAGTGCTTCTCAAATTTATTTGTAGGAAAGGACCGCCCCCCCCCTTAAAAAAAATCTTCATAGACCAATACTTTTAATTTTTCTTTTTTGGGGGGGGTGCTACGCCACACGTGGCTTGTGGATCTTAGTTCCCCAACTAGGGATCGAACCCGGGTCCTCAGCAGTGAAAGGAG